TGGTTGGGTTACAACAAGGATCAGCCATATGCTGATATCTTTTTGCTTTAGTCATGGATGTTCTCACTAGACATTTGCAAGAGGATTCACCTTGGTGTATGCTTTTTGTTTTTGATATTCTTTTTGCTAATAAAACTAGAGAGGGAGTTGAAGGTAAACTTGAATTATGGATGTCAACCTTAGAGTCTAATGGTTTTCGATTGAGTAGATCAAAAACAGAATATATGGAGTGTAATTTTAGTAGCAATAGTCCTAGTGAGGGGATTGTGACTTTGGGCGATCAAGTCATTAATAAGAGTATGTGTTTTATATATCTTGGATTTATTGTTTAAAGTGATGATGAAGAGATGGGGATATTATCAGCATAATTCAAGTTGGATGGTTGAAGTGGAGGAATATATTGGGCTTGTTGTGTGATAAAAGAGTAGCCCTCAAACTTAAGAAAAAAATTTATAAGATGGTGGTGAGACCTATAATGCTTTGTGGTGCCAAATGTTGGCTATTAAAAGAGAAGTATAATACTAAGTTAAGTGTGGCAGAGATGATGATGCTTAGGTGGATGAGTGGCTTTACCCTTAGAGGTACGATACAAAATGAGCATATACATGAAAAGGTTGGAGTAGCTGTAGTAAAAGATAAATTTAGAGATAGTAGCCTTAGATGGTTTGGTCACATAAAATGGCGGCCTTCGAATGACCAAGTTAGGAAAGTAGTGGTATTAGATTTGAGTTATATTAAGAAAGGAAAAGGCAGACCTAAAAAGACTTGGTTAGAAAATATTAGAACTAATCTTTCTCAATTAAATTTAAATGAGAATTTGACTTTTAATAGGACATACTGGAGAAAAAAGATTCATGTTGCTGACCCCATATAGTGGGATAAAGGCTTGATGTTGTTTGGTGATCAGATGAACTAGTTGGGTGATGATGTTTAGAGGACCATACTCATACGTTGGTGATTAGAGTATCATAGTTGGGTGATGGTTATTAGAGGATAACAGTTGGGTGATATTAGTTTATGGTTGTTGTTAGATGATGATGGTTCAAAGATTATAATTAGGTAATGGTGGTGGAGGATTATAGTCGAGTGATGATGTTTAGAGTACCATGATTAAGCAATATTATTCATAAAATTACAATTAAGTGATCATAGTTGGGTAATAAACATCAAGGAATAGAGTTAAGTGATGGTAGTAGGTGGATCATAGTCTGAAAACGGTGGTTAAAGAACCTTACTGAGCCAATGTGGGTTAGATGATTGTAGTTGTGAGATACTGATTAGTTTATTGTAGTTGAGTGCTCCTAGTCAGATGACCTTGGTTGGGAAATAATTATTTGATTACTTTGGTTTGGTGATTTTATTCGAAGGATCAAAGTTGGGTGATGATGATAAAAAGATTGTTATAAAAAAATGGTTGGAGGATAATAGTTGGATAATAATGGTTGAATGATTATAAATGAGTGATCTTTATTAGATGGAGATGGTGGCAAACATGAGATGATTGATAATAATAGTTATGCTAGGTACATTGGTAACCATTAGTCAGTGGTTTGATGGTGGAAATTAGTCTATTGTCTAATGACAGTGGTTGGGTGGTGTATAAAAGTGCTAGTTAAGTGATGGTCCTAAAATGGTGTAAATGATGGAGCTCTAAGATTCTTCAAGCCTTTAAGCTCTTTAAAATCTCAAGCCAAGGTCTAAAGCTTCCCCTTCATATAGAGAGTGGGGCCAATTTATAGCTTTTTGAGAGTGACATCTACCATTAATTTATCCAAAATATGGTACTCTCTATTAGATGAACAATATTAGTTTTCTTGATCATAAAATATTTCTTTTAGCATTTATGTTCCATAATTATGTACAAAATAGAAATTTTTTGGATCATTTGATTATTCTCATTGAAATGCTTGATTTGAATATAAGCATATAAGATTTAAAGTTTATTGGTGCACCAATTAATGTCCCAAAGTTTTAACTATACTTCATGTTCTTAATCCAAGCTCTTTAATTATACTTCAAGTGTTAATAGCTTCATCTCATTGAGATGTTTGATTCAACTATAATCTTGTTGATATCAAACATTATATGGATTTCAATTTAATTATGGAAGTTTCTATCTAAAATATGATTCTGATTTTATGGCTAGGCTCCAATCTCCCTGTTAAAGTATTGTTGCATATCCTCATTAAAAAAAAGTAATATTTATTGGAAAAAAATTTTATAGTCCATACATTCAAGCTTTGGTATTCCCTTGAAAAATTTGTTGGTTGTCCTCATCGGAAAAACTAAATTTGAAGGAGATTAAAACTTCTAGTGCTTCTGATGAGGCTTTAATCTTTTGTTGAAAGTCCCAAAAAATCTTATTGTTACTACCCACACCTTTCTAGAAAAACTTGTTAAGGATAATGTCAATTCTTTTGCTCCCCAGCTTAGTAGGAAGTAAAGTTTGAAAAGAGTAGATAGGGCATGAAGAAAGAACACATCTAATTAGCATAAGTCTAACCCCAAAGCTCAAAAAGCAAGAATCCCGAGATTGCAATTTATTTTGAATAGAAGTAATTAATTCATCATATAAGAACGATCTCTTTCTACCTTTATATAAAGTCGTGTCAAGATACTTAATAGGTAAATGACCATGCATAAAACCAGTTTGATCTTTAATAGCCAAGATACAGTTACCTTTCATATTTTTAGGAACCATGAAAGAGCATTTATGATTATTTAAAGACAAACCATTGATAGAATGAAAATAATGAAAAAAGTCCATCATTTTCTTAACCATTACAAGAAGCATTTATAAAAATGATAAAGTCATCAGAAAAACACATATGAGATATAGGGAAGCCACCCCTAGTGCGAAAAAACAAATGGGGATTATTTTCAAACATGTTAGCAATGCAACAAGAAAGATAATCCACCGCGATAATAAACAAGGCAGTGGACAAAGGGTCACCTTGCCTTAAACCCTAAGAAGATTGAAAGAAACCACGGCTCTTGCCATTAAAAATCAAAGCGAAAAAAGAACCTTCAATGCAATTTCTAATAATATTAATAAAAGTGAAATTAAAGTAAAATAATTGTAAAATATTATAAATGAATTGCCAACTAATGTTGTCATAAGCTTTAGAGATATCCAACTTAAGAATAGAATTACCACCTCTAACCTTGATATCCAAATCATGACACAATTCCCGAGCCAGCAAAATATTGTCAAAGATGGATCGACCTTTATCAAAACCCATTTGAAACGGAGAAATAATCTTAGGAAGAACAGAAGACAAACAGGACATAATAATTTTAGAAAGCAATTGATTGAAAAAAGTACACAAGCAGATAGGTCTAAAATCATTCCAATTAGTAGCATTATTCATCTTAGGAATAAGCATAATAGAGGTAGAAGAAAAAAAATTAGGCATAAAATTACCAGCAAAAAAATCTAAAACTGCAGCAAAAAGATTATCTTTTATATTATTCCACAATTTTTGAAAAAAAATAGTGGTAAAATCATCAGGACCAGCCACAGAGTTAACATTCATATTAAAAACAATATTCTTTAATTCCTCAATGCTAGGAATACCAAAAAGGATCTCATTATCCTCAGCAAAAATGAGAGAGTGGATGATATCAGGGTTATTGATGTTACCCGTATTAAACACTTTGTTGAGGCTATCCTGAAAATGGTTAACCGCGAAGATGGCAATCTCCTCCACCTCATCAATAACAATACCATCATCGAGTAATTTTATGAATTGAGCTTAAAGCACATTTCCTTTTAACCAATGCATGAAAGTATTTGGTATTATTATCCCCTTCTAACAAATGCTTAGCCATAGCCTTTTGTTTCCAATAGGTTTCTTCTTGGGCATGAAGTTTAAATAAATTAGCCTTAGCCTCTCTAAGAGAAATAAAATTGGCATGAGTGGGAGAGCTAAGACAGTCCATCTAAATAGTATTAACCTTCTCTTCAGCAGATAAAATATTAGTAAAAATATTTTTAAAAACATTATGGTTCCACCAATTTAAAAGTTGCTTGAGTTTTTTTAATTTAAACCAAAGTCTATTCATACCCATAATAGAATTATTAGGATGCAAATCATCTTTCTAATTCATATGAACAACAATGAAAAAGGAATCATGTTTAAGCCACATATTTTGAAAACAAAATTAAGGAAAAGCATAAACATGTCTAATATTAATAGCAAACAGTAAAAGAGAATGATCAGAAAGAGTACGACTAAGATGCTCAAACAAAATGGAGCTAAAAGAATTAATCCAATGATCATTAAATAAAATGTGATCCAATCTTTGCCAAACTGACCTATATTCCAAGTGAACTGGTTACCAGAAAAACCAATGTCAATGAGATTGCAATCCATAATCATATTATTAAAATCATCCATAGAATACAAATTAGGATTGGAACCCCCAGATCTCTCAGATGGATTAGAGATAGTATTAAAATCACCTCCAACCATCCATGGGCTACTACACATAAATTGGAAATCAGTTAATTGCTCCCAAATAATTTTTCTAATACCACGAGAGGAAGCCGCATAAGTGAAAGAAGCACAACACTTAACATTAGACACTTCAATACTACAATGTAAAACTTGAGTGAAATTACCAAGAATATCAATTTTAACTTGTTCTTTCCAAAAAATTCAAATCTTATTAGCACAATTAGCCATAACATTGTTAAAACCAAAAAATCTAGCAGTGGTAGATAAATTGGAGACATTAACAAGGGGTTCAATTAAAGCTAAAATAGAAATATTATGAATACGGGAAAGATTCTTAACCCGCAAATGAGAAGAAGCACACCGAATACCTCTAACATTCCAAATAATAGACTTAAACATAAAAGCAAAATTAACGAGTAGATTATGAATGGGCATTTTTACCTGACTGTAAAATAAGGTTTAACTTTTCCTACCACGTTTACCTTGAGCTTTCATAAAGCTAAAATCATTATCATCTTTAGCATAACATTTGGTAGAAACTTATAATTCCTCATTATCAGTAAAAGCATCAGAATCAAAGTGAGAAGAAGAAGGGGACTTACAGTCAGTATCCTTTCTCTTACCCAAATGAGGAAGCTCATCTTCCTCCAACGCTTCATCACAGTCAATCACCATATTCAACACTAAGCCAAGATCAACAATTTTTGTTTCCACCAAAACGTGCTCAGTATGACCCACATTACTGTTACTATTAGTTAGGCCAATAACCACAGCATCATCATGCTTGAGAACAAAGCAGCCAAGTTCATCAACAATGATAGATTTATTAGAATTCAAATCAAAATTTATAATAGGTAAAGTAGGAATAATATTATTTTTAGAAGAAGAATCATTTAAATCATAATTAACCACTAAATCAACATCATTATTTGACTGAGGCAATAAAGTAGTAAGTTCAGGGTGATCAGTAGGAATATTCTCCAGAATGATCGTAACCAAAGGAGGGGAAAGGTTAGACTGAACATTTCCAGGAACAGCAACCGCATTGATTGGCTCATAATCAGACCTAGCATTCAGTCCTTCCACAGACTGCAAAATTTCATTATCATCCTTAGCTTGAGATTGTTTAGGAACATATTTTTCTTTACGAAGGTGGGGATGTAATCTAAAACAATCTTTAAAACCAAGTCCATGCATTTTACAGTGCGAACGAAAAATTAATAAATTCTCAAACTCCACTTTTTGAAAATACCCGTTAAGTTCAAAACCCAACCAAACCTCACCCGGGTGCTTCTTTGAAACATCAAGTTCCACAAGGACTCTAGCTATGGATGGTTGAGTTATAGAAGCAGTGGCCTCATCAGTTTGAAAAGGTCTATCAAAGATAGAAGCAAGTCTGAATAAAACTTGCGAGTTACAGAAATGCAGTCTCAGATTCATAAAAGAAATCCAAACTGGAGCAATGGGAGATTCTTCCCAAACATCAAAGTTAGGCGTCCACTTAAGGAGACGCATTTGACACCCTTAGATATAGTAAGACCTCCGAGAAAAAATATGACTATAATCGAGATCATTCATCAGCTGAATCGCTACGTGCCTTAGATCCAGGAAGCTAAAATGAAAAGCTCTAAATAATTTCAAGCTAACAAAAAATTTTATAATGACGTCAAGATTCGGACGGTGCAGCAAAAATTTACCCACTAGGGTTAGGGCAAATAGAGCAGCAAGTTGTGACACAACAGTGTCATCAAACAAGAGCGCCAAACATCCTTTGAAAGACATGTGCACAAATTGAAGCTAAAAAGTAGACGAGGAAGAACACGAGAGTACATCCTTAAAAGAACGGTAAAACGTATTTGACGGGATAGATGAAGACAACGTCGTCATCTCTCGAAATAAAACTGCAAGAAAACCTCAAACGAAAAGCATGAAGGAACAAAATCCAAGCCAACAACAAAAAGAATGAACAAAATCCAAACCAGAATGCCGGAGAAGCAAAAAAATCAGAGATCTGAAAGGAACCCAAAATAGCATCGAAATCGCCTGGGAGAGCAGAGAGGAGCGCAACGGTCGACTTGAAAGTGCCAAACAATTATGTATATGAAATTATATTCTTATAAACCACAATCTATCAAACAATATCTCTTTTTTTTTTTTTCTTTAAAATTATAGAACTACCACTTTTTTGTTATTATCCCTTAGATATAGCCGTATTAAACCTCTTTTAATTTGGATTCAGTTGAAAAAAAAATTATAAAATTATAAATAAAAATATTATTAATTTTATTTCCTTTAAAAAAAATCAAATTAGGCATTTAATCAGAAGATGTATAAAATTTACTTCTCAAAAGTTCTTGCATGGTTGAACTATATTAAAGAAATTTAGTAATTATTTAAATGATATAATATTTTTAAAAAAGAAGAAATTAATTGATAAAATAATAAAAAATCATGAAATATTAGATATGTACAATAAATAAGCCAAATAAAATTATTAAACAGTACAATAATATCATTTTTTTTATTTTCAACTTTTTGTTAGAAAACCAGAACATCGACATACAAATTTGATAAAACTAAAGCCCGAAACTATCAAATTTATTATAAATATTTTAGTCTTATGCTAAAGTTATATATATATAATGAATTTATCTAAATGTTTTATATTATTTAGTTAAAAATAATTTATAATCAATATGCAAAAAAAAAAATTTTCATTCTACAATATATTTTATATAAGTATATTAAGTCTTCACTACAGACCAATCTAGGAATTATATTTCAAATCGCTTTGAACCTTTTTCTTTTAGAATTTGGAGCAAGTGGGTTAGGTTAAATACATTTGTTAATGAGTAATATAACTACTTAACATTTGGAGTACAACAAGAAGATATAAACAACTACTAGCTTACAATAAAATATATTTAAAAATGACATTAACCAAATTTATGATCATATAGCGTTTTTAATTAATTTCATTGTGGCGATACCTAACTATATGTTTCTAGTAGATATGGCAATATCCAAGAAAGCTAGTTGGTGCATATTTATAGGGCAATGCGATCAACAAGTAGGTGAGATGCTTTTAGCTATATGGCTCATAGAAACAACAACTACATTATGCCATTTATATGATGTTGACATGCATGATTGATTGGAACTGTCCAACAAAAAATAATAATGGTTATGGCCTTATGGGAACATTAAAATAGATTAGTTATGTCATGCATGTTGTAATTGACCCATATATTTGTATGTTGTATTCATGTCTTTATTATGTCTTGAACCATTTAATGATTGTAGAGTTTGGTTAAAGTTTTAGGCATCAATCAATTCTTGATACATTTATGATAATGGAAAATTCAAAAAAAAAAAAAAAAAAAATTGCATCATACAATTTTATTTTTTTTGATAAAACCCACCTATAGGCCTACGCGATAAAAATAGGAAAAAATACAAGTCCTTAGAGGGTCCTATAGCTCACGACTGCTCGAAAGAGCTACAATCAAAATAAAAAAGAAACCTAGGAGCCGGAGGTCCCTACTAACCAAACTGACAAGAACCCTAATAACATTCTATGATCAAAAACAAAAAGGAAAATAATCAAAGCCTTCAGCATGACCCTACGAACCTTACACGTTCCCTGCACAAAACGAGCGCGAAGCTCCAAAAACCTGAAAAAAAAGGCTAGCAAGGAAACTAAAGGAGAAATTAGATAAAACAAAATATTGAAATATTAAATATAAGCTAAGAAAAACAGACAAATCCCATGAAAGCAAGAACCATTCAGTTGTAGAAGCTCATGGGTGCAGCTGGTATAAAGGTATCTATCACCGCCAAAATAAACCCAACAACGACTAAAATCCCGAATGAAAGGCACATTGCATGATACACATAAGATCATGGCTATGTTGTAAATTATGTTAGATAAATGAGAATTGATTTGATCATCTTGCTATTTTAGCTTAAAAAAAAAAAATCTAAAAAGAGAGAAAAATCAATTGAGCCTTATTCCGATGAGAAATGTATTGTACATAAAATTTTAATGTATAATGGAGTCTACACTAGTCTCTGTAGCTGATTTCCTTCCTCATACATGAAGAGTGTTTTGAAATTATAATGAGCATGTGTCACAAGTAAAATAAATTATAAATGAGCTCTGGTATAATATTTCAAAAGTAGAGAAAAAATTCATAAATATAAAAGAAATCCATCTTCATTCCATTTCATTTTATACATTACATAAAACAAAAATAGGATTTAAGATATAAGAATAGATATAACAAATAAATTATAGAATATTACATAATGTGTATGTGATATAACATTCCTTTCATTTTTTTTCCTTTTTACAGCACTTTGTCTTCATTTATTTTGGTATATTTAAGCCAATTAAGACAAATTTTCACACACATCACATACGCAATACTAGAATCCAAAACCTCTTGGTTGTTAGCCAAAGCTCCATCCAACAAACAAAGGCGAGCTACATTTTTGTCTTCATTTAACTCTACTATTCATATCATGTTATCAGAGCACATGGTATGCCAATTATGCTTGGTATGAGGTTGATCTATCATAGTCAACTTAGTGTGCATTGAAAAGATTGTCTGCTATGGAAGCCATACATTTTTGAGAGGTTTGATGGAGAAATATAGAGAGAATAAAAAGGATCTACCTATGATATTTATTGATTTAGAGAAAGCATATGATAAAGTTCCAAGAGAATTGCTATTGAGAGTTCTTGAAAAGAAAGGAGTTAATAACACTTATATTCAAATCATTAAATATATGTATTACTATAGAAAAATCCTCCATTACTGACGGAATATTTTCCGACATATAATAATGAAATTTTTCCAACTAATTTTTTAGGTAGATTTTCTAGCAAATTTTCGTCAGATTTAAAATTTTCTAGAAAAAAAAAAACATATATTCAAAATTAATAATTTTACAGCTTATCATAATTAATTATAAATTTACTAATTTATTTTAATTAATTATTAATTTATAACTTATTATAATTAGTTTTTAATGTAATAAATTATTTTAATTAAGAATTAAATTAATAAATTATAATTTATTACTAACTTTAATATTTTATTTTAAAGTATTTTTAAATAATATAAAATGTTGTTAAATTAATAATTAATTTATTAAAAAATTAATAACTTATCTTACTTAATTAGTAATTGAATAACTTATTTTAATTATTTATAATTTTTGATAGTTTATTTTAATTTATTTTTACTATTAAATTTCATATTATCTTATTTAATATAAAAGAGTACTATATATGACAAATTTTCTTATACAACAAAGTGTTTGAATGTTTGAAAAAGGTAGGTACACTCTTCGAATCCCACAGCGGTAGTCACAGGCGTGGGGCAAATTATTGGGTCAGGTGACCGAACGCAGAGATAGGTCCGGATATTAATAAAATATTATTTTAAAATTAGCGCAAGTAAAGCGCAACTAAAGCGCAGGTAAAGCGCATCTAAAGCGCAACTAAAGCGCAAGTCAAAATGCGCAACTAAAGCGCAACCAAAGCGCAACTAAAGCGCAAGTCAAAAAGCGCAACTAAAGCGCAAGGTTACGCGGCAAATTTTTATTGGATGTCTGAACTTATTTTCCGCCTCCGGTCACCTGACCCAATAATTTGCCCAGGCGTGGGGCCTGCTACATGCAACTCAAATAGCAAGGTTATGCTATTGAATCTAATTGAAAGTGTTGTTCTATAAACTTTTAAAAATGTTTAAAATATAAATTACTCATAATAAAAGATGTGTTCCAACATCTTGATAACGAATCACACTGCGTTATAATTTCACAAATGGCAATTGCAAGAATTAAATGAATTTCCGGAGTAATTGATAACAACCTTAGTTTTTCCAACTCAACATGAACTAAAAATAATTTTTCTCTGGAATTTAAAGCATAAAACGATAATATGATATTCACTTAACAAATCCCTACACATTTTCACAGGAATTTAACGCATAAAATAATAATATGATATTCACTTAACAAATACCCCCGCACTCAAATAGCTTAAGCTATTTCTTTTCCTTAAGCAATACAGCTGGGCTTTTGATTAATTAATTCACCTTAATGAATTTTCCTGTTTAAAATTGATTAAAATGTAGAAATCTATTTCTCTAAGTTGATGTTAATTGAAATGAGTCAAAGGTTGGCAATTTTAATTAAAATAATTATTTACAAACATCTTAATTAATTACTTTCATTAATATCCATTCAAAGTTTCATCCACTACAAGTGTTAGTGCAGGAGTTGACCGCTTATTTGAATTGAGTGATATATCATTTTGGACATTTTCATACTTTGGTTAATTTTCCAATTCATTTATAAACATCAATAAGTATTATATTACTTATACTTCCCTTGTTTAATTTAGGTATTAGGTATTTTCTAGGAAGTATGCTTTTATAGGTACCAATTTTTGATGTTCTAGTACTCATTTTTCTTTTCAATCTTTAATTTTTTCTTTTTCTTTT